AGCGATGCCTCGCGGACGGGACATGAATGGAGGCGTAGTGCCTGTGGAATATGGGGGAGTGGAATCGAGACGCCACATCTCACTAGACGAGCGAGCTGAGGTCTGGGGCGCGGGTATAGCCTTGACCTCTTTGAGGACAGATGAAGCCGGCGTCGCAACGGGTGGCTTGGTTGAAATTGCCGATGGGACGGGGGAGAAATCCAATGGGAAATCATGTTTCCCCGGTGTCTTTTTGGCCTGCTGGCTCTCCAAATAACCCTCTTGGTTGGCTTCCAGTAGTACACATGAGAGCATTGCCACCATTTGCACATCACCAATGCGCTCAAAGTGTTCGAAGAGAGCAGGGACAAGCCAATGACTGCCAAGGGGGTGGTCGCCCCAGCGAATAATACTGCCCGTTAAATCTCTATAGAGCCCATCTCTTCCCAGACTACCAATTCCGCCGCCCTTTTTCCGTGTACGCCTTTGCGACAGCCCTGACTCGAGCAAAGCGCCGGGGCTTTTCCGGACATGCAATATCAACTTGATCAGACCCCATATCTGGGCCAATTCGTAGCAGCCAGCGTCAAGGGCAACAGCCGCATTATGGGCGCATACATCTGTCCCTTTGCCACAGATGCGATATTGACTCGCCAACTCCCGCTTGACTGGTAACATATCACTCAGATTATGAATAGATACCACATTCTGGGGTGCCTCGGGTTTCACCGTGGCTCCGCCTCCAGTCGACCGCTGAGAATTATCTGTTGACCGGGGCCGGTGGATGCCATAGCTGCCGGCACTGCGCCATGTTCGAGGTGCTGGGAAACGTGTCGGTAGCCCAGAAAGAACGTCAGAGGAGCCTGAAGAGCTCGATGTGTCTGAGTATGAGTCGTCCGAATCGTCCGAGGCACCATCATCTGTGCTTGTTATCGTTCCCATTCCGCGTGGGCCTGGTGAGTTGGTATGTAACCGGCCGAAACCTTCAAAAACTTTATCGCCTCTAGACCAGCGAGTCATCTCTTTGAAGCCCATGTTCTCAAACAACTCGGCTGATTTATCCTTCTTTTGTTTCGGCGGGAAGAAGCATACGAGGCGGCCGTCGTTTGCCCAAAGCGCCCCGCATGCTTTAGCCACAGGCACCATGACGTTGGCATTGACAGGGCGGAGTAGCTCAGAACTCATCCCCAGCTCTTGGCTCTGAGTCATGCCAACTTCATCCTCGTCGCTGGATTCACCTTCCAGTTCACCATTGATAGGGGACTTGAGGGTATCGCCAGTTTCACCCAAGATCCACGCGATGCTGTCCTCCAGGCTGCTTTCGCCTAAAAGATAACGCACAGCACCTTCCAGGCACCCTCGATTTCGGGACATATAAGTCTCAGCAATTGTGCGCAGTTCAGCGGTAGTCTTCGCAGCCCACTCATCTGTGACGGCTGCCGTCTTTTGGAATGCAAAGGTCGGTATAGCAGTCTTGGGATAGCTCATTGGAAACTTGATATCGACTTTCAAGAACAAAGAGGCCCCGTCAGCACCCCAGGGCCCGTTTAGAGAGATGGAAATCTTTCTTTGTCGAACATCAACTGAATCGAATGCCACCTTAGTAAATTTTTCGCCGACCTGGCTGATTTCATCCCCCAACGTCTCAATGTCCCAGCCTGAGATCTTCACGCCGCGCATCCAAGCAATTGGATTTGTGTCGGCTCTTAAATTTGACCTCGGTTGCATGCCAACTCGATCGACATGGCCTCCCTTTATCCAACCCCGAGCGTGAGGAACAGTAATGGCGTTCATCCCAGTACCTGCTGCGGTATTCTGGTTCTGAGGCCCAGCAGAGGAAGCCACGTCAACGTCATCCAGATCCAAATCTGAATTCACATCACGGAAACTCCGATATACGGCACCCAGCCGTGTCACAGTTCGTGTGGAAATAAAGGACTTTCCCTTTTCGTACCCGACGCGCGCCAGAATCTCAGGGTCAACTTTGTGCAGACGAAGTTCCCTGTCTGCTCCCCACGTAACAAGTTGATATTCGCGATGGTCAATTCCATCCGCTACCCCTCCGCGTGGTCTCCACAAGAACTCTTTGACTTGTCCCTTGTGTCCGGGGAAACTATGTACCAAAGGCAAGTCGTCCTCTCGATTTGAACCCTCTCCAGCTCGCCGGCTGTAAAGGTGAAGATCATTGTTGCCTCTCTGTGGCATTGCAAGCATACCCCATCCAAACGGTGTATTGCGTGCCCGCCACACGGGGAATGGTGTGTGAATCTGCTTCTCTGGAACATCTGAATCGGTGGTGTAGTCCCAGAACTTGATGGTTCTATCTAAGGAACATGTAACTAGAGCACCGCGTCGAACACGATTCCAGTCAACTCCATAGATCTTGGTGTTATGTGCTTCAATCGATTTGATTGGGTATGCGCCCATGCGGTCATCCCAAATCCGAAGGAACCGGTCATGAGAGCTTGCAATGACATGTGGGTCTTGTCGATTCCATTTCACCTGGGTTGCACCAGTAAACCAATCCGAGAATGAGACAGCTGGCCGCGACGGCGCACGTAAATCCCAGCAGTGCACAAAGCTGTCCACGGAACAGGTCGCTAGGACATCTGGGTGGAACGCCGAAAAATTGATATCCGTAATTGCTCGAGAATGGGCGTGAAGTACAATTTCAATGGAGTTCTGCCATGTCTTCATGGCCAAATTCCAGACCAATGCTTTCTGGTTGGACGTACTGACAACCCACTGATCGCGTGCAGCGAATGGCGACCACTGGACATCAGCTACCTCCCATGGCGTGTGATGAGGGAGATACCGCGGTGGAGAATATGGCGAGTCCAGGTCGATGACATGTAGACCCTCCTTCGACGCTAAAACGACATCGCGTCCACAGGGGGATATTGACATAGAACCCACCGGCTGCTCTACATGAAAGGAGCTGTCTTCTTCAAACGTCGGGCTCTCCATAGCCGAGGTGAGAGGCCTCGGTTCCATCGAGCTAGACATGGTGACTGTGACTGCTGCTCTGTTTAATCTCCGGTGTTCGTCGGGCCGCGATCTTGCATGAACCGGGGAGTCAAAGTTCTATCCATGCATATAACGCAAGACCATATGTATTTGAGAGTGTGTACTTGTTCCCATTTTCCACAATGGCATCCGCTATCCTTGTTTCATGGTTAGAGATGACTTATATCCTCCGCTTGTCGCGAAGACTGCACATATGGAGAGTTGGGTTGCGATAACACGATAAGGACAAGGGCGTGGCTGGTGCTGTGGCTGTCGCTGCGGGTTATGACATCACATGATCTCGTATACGGGACGCGAAATAACCCCGCCATGCAGGAGCCCCTCGGCCGGTTACGTCGAGATCTGGATGTGTTTTTTTTCTAGCTTACTTGCGCTTTACTTTTCTCTGTTTAATTTTCCAATTACATCTTGTGGTCCCAACCGACGTTGAAAGTGTACGAGTTTCCGGGCTCCTTTAACAACAGTCTCCTCGTCTGAAATTACTAAACCAGGTCTGCACGTGTGTCGATAAGCCGGTTCGCCATGGCTTTACCCAAGAGAATCATCAAGGAAACGGAACGTCTGATGGCAGAGCCGTAAGCAGCTCATTTCACTCAGGTCATTTGTATGGCAGCTAACATGTTGTGCTTGGGTTACAGTGTTCCAGGCATTAATGCTGTGCCCCATGACGATAACCTCCGCTATTTCGACGTCTCAATTCACGGACCCGCGCAATCTCCATATGAGGGTGGGTTCGCGGTGACAGATCGTCGTGTCAATTGAAGTGCTAACATACTTTCTACAGGTGGTATCTTCCGACTTGAGCTCTTCCTGCCAGACGACTATCCTATGACCCCACCCAAAATCCGCTTCCTGACCAAGATCTACCACCCCAACATCGATCGTCTGGGCCGCATCTGTTTGGACGTCCTGAAGAGTTAAGACAAATACGATTTGTTGTTGAACTGCGAATATCTAACCATGTTTTTCAGATAATTGGTCTCCCGCTCTCCAGATCCGTACAATTCTACTCTCGATTCAAGCACTACTTGGAGCCCCGAATCCCGACGACCCGCTCGCCAACGATGTTGCTCAGAGATGGAAGGACGATGAGCCTGCTGCGATCCAAACGGCAAAGGAATGGACTCGGACACATGCTATGACCTAAGTCCGTTGGTGTTATGTGACCATGAAGTGCAGGCCAACTCTTTCTATTTGCGATAGCACGCATTGAATTCCAAGCGTTTGTCATTGGGCAACCTTGTTGCTTTGAGTAGGATTACATTCTCTGCTCATCCCATTGCCCTTTCTCAAGTTATTCTGGCTTTCTCTAGAAAGCGTCTCAGAGAGCCAACCTCGTCCCGCGTGTTTGACTGTCATCAGCCATTCTTAACAACACATCCGCTATCGCTATCGTACATCTAATGTAGTCCAGCCACTTACAGTCCCCACAGTGTACTGATCGTTGTATCGTTTGTTGCACGGTTGTGTTCCTTAATTTGAGAATTGTATATGTCTCAACTTTATCTGCTTCTAATCCAATTCTGATAGAAAAGGCTGTTGAAGAAGAGATGAACTCTAACCGTGTTGGCGTAGACTGAGTGCATATACTTGTATATGAGCATATGCTTGAGCCGCACTACCACGAAAAGCCTCCACCTGCATCTGCAGTCCGGATTCGAAGGAAATTCGACTTCATTAAGGGCCAGGAGTGGTTCGTTAACGAAAATTCCATGTTCCTTGCGGTTTGCCATGGGCTTGGCAGTAGAAAATATGAAGTCCATGTCACTTGACGTATTTTGTGACTTGCGCTCATAGCAATACATAACTCGAAGAAGAGTCTAAGTAATAAAATTCAAGCCATGCAACTATCCTGGCCAAAGATCGTAAACAATCGAAGTATTGGAAGAGAGAGACATATCATGTGACCTTATCGATAAGTCAACCCGGAAAGGGCAGAGGAGGTCACGTGTCGCACTTTAGCGAGCGCCCGCACCACAATTGGGTCAGTAGCAGCACCGCGATCCACGATTTACGACAACCACTCAACGCCAACCGACCCCCGTCAGCGCATCTCCATCCGTCAAGATGCGTACTTACGACGACGCCTTCAGCGGCCAGAAGATCTACCCTGGCAAGGTGCGTTTGCAATTCCCGTCGTCGCTTTGGGAGGAATTTGTGTGCGAGGGAATAACGGCATCATGGATTCGACATTCTCACTTCGATATTTCAATACCCTCAAAATTGTCGCTCTCCGTCTTAGCCGAACCGCCGCACATTAATTCCGCCGTCTTTTTATTGCTACCAGAAGCTAATCTTTGATGTTCAATGTTTTAGGGCAAGCTGTTCGTCCGTGGCGACAGCAAGATCTTCCGCTTCCAGCGTGGAAAGTCCGAGTCCCTTTTCCTTCAGCGCAAGAACCCCCGCCGCATCGCATGGACTGTTCTCTTCCGTCGCCAGCACCGCAAGGGTATCTCTGAGGTCGGTCGCCCCTCCCCTTGGATTATTGTTAGATTGTGTGGAGGGACAAAAGGCCGAATCGAATGGTGACGCATAAACCATGAGACGGAGCAAGAGGAGGAATTACCACGTCACCACCATGATTCGGATCAAATGATGGAAAATACGACTGCAGATTACTGACTGGGTTATCTTTTGGATATATAGGAGGTCGCCAAGAAGCGCACCCGCCGTGTTGTCAAGAACCAGCGTGCCATCGTTGGTGCTTCCCTCGATGTGATCAAGGAGCGCCGGTCCCAGCGCCCCGAGGCCCGTGAGGCTGCTCGCAAGCAGGCCATCAAGGATGCCAAGGAGAAGAAGGCTGCTTCCGCCAGCGCCAAGAAGGCTGAGAAGGCCAAGATCGCCGCCTCCAAGGGCGGTGCCCAGCGCATCCAGAGCAAGCAGGGTGCTAAGGGCTCTGCTCCCAAGGTCGCCGCCAAGTCCCGCTAAATTTCTTCATGAATTAGTTGGGAATGGAGGTGTTCGGAACGGAGCAGCGCTGTAACGGTTGCGATATGATGGAACTTACGGGCATCGGAGCTGGAGTACTGTCTGTGAGGACTGGCCTTGGGCCTTGACCTTGTTTCTGGAAATACTTTATGCAATACAATTTCATGCAGAAAAATGGGAACAAAGGAATCAAAAAATGAATCCCCATGCGAGTATTAAAACTGTGTTCTCATCCAACGTCCAGCAATGGAACGTTCCTTGCTTTCCCGCTGAGGTATCATATCCACCAGGCTGCTCATGAGTGGTTGGATATGTATGTATCTCTATCGGATCTTGTTAACGAAGTAGTCCAGATTCGGCCTCCCAATCTATAGTTGAATTTCATGTTTCGTTCTAATCTGACTTTACATATACGAGAAGGAATAGCCTTTTTGGTACATAGCTTCCTTCTGGCATCTCTAGAGTGGCTGGAGACAAAAGCAAAAATGAACTAAACCGTTGAACTGAACCTTTCCATTTCTGACGAGAGGGTGATCTTCTAAGTTCAACAATAACGATATATAACTGTCACTTTTTATGCACGCCTTTAGACCATGTAGGTCTCCATCTCCGCAATGCATTGACTTCAACTCTCAAGGAAGCAGACATAGTACAAACATCATCAGTAGTGTTACAAGCTAAGACGGGGATCGCCGCAATGACAGAAACACCATCATAATGATAACGATTGGTAGACCCACCACTCCCCAGCCCTGGGACTTTCACAGTGCGCAATTGAGTTGCCGGTAATGGAGAGCGGGTGCAAAATGCTACAAATGCCCCAATTGCTCCTTGTCATGTGCCCAGGGCCATACTAATCACGATGGATTAGGGTCATGTGTAGCTCCGTTCTAGAAGAGACAAAAATTTACATGGATCAAGAAACGCTCAGTAATAATGCGCCATCTCGAGGCCAGCGCGCTTGAAGCCACACTTGACGTAGAAACCCTCATTGACTTCGGAGCAGTCAAGAATGCTCTTGTAATCGAGTCAGTAACGAACAGTAACAAACACTAGAACCGTAGACATACCTTGTAGCAGCCAACCTGGGCAGCAACAAAGTCCAAAGCCTGGATAATTCTCAAACCAAGCTTCTTGCCCTGCTGATTCTTCTCAACGGCAATGTCTTCAATGTGCCCCACCATACCGAGCGAATGGATGAACTTGCGCTCAACAATCAGACTGCCGGTTCCAACCACTCGGTCCGCACCATCACAGACTACGAGCATGTAGTACTCATCGTTGCGTGAGGTAATCCAATCGTACCGCTGGTTCCACGCCTCCTCGGTGATATCGCCAACAGTTGTCAGCACGCGCAACACGTCTAGATAGCCGCGGTGGTAGTCCGAGCGGCGCATTGGCCGGATTGTGTAGTCTGTTGGCAGGAGGGAGATCACTTCGGGAGAGATGAGGGTGGAGGGGAAGAGGGGGCCGTCGGAGACGGTCTCCATTGCGGCGTCCACTGGAGTGACGGTTGAGTTCATGATTGGCTTGACGGCTTCGGGGCCTGTGGTGCTTGGAAGGGCGTGTGCGGTCATTTTTACGGGGAGAGTTGGAGAGTGGGAGTGTTGAAGAGATTGAGGGTTGAGGGCGGGTTGTTTATCAGGGGCGGGGGGTCGCAAGGGAGATGGGCGGCCTTGGGGTTGAGTAAGTTGATCTGTTTGAGTGAATTTCGATATGTAATTGATTAGAGATACAAGAGTTTCGATGTGAAAAAGAAGAAGTTTTCAAGATCTTAAGAAATAAGTACTTGACTTTGAAATGTTCAGGTACAGCCCTGCATGTGAGAC